TTTTCTCTTTTTTCCTTAGTGAGTCTAGCCAGAAACTTGTCAATTTTATTAATATTTTTAATGAACCAGTTACTTGTTACATTAATATTTTATATTGTCTTTTTGGTCTCTAATTCTACTCTAATTTTATTATTTCCTTTCTTCTACTGGCTTTGGGTTGCTTTTTGTTCTTTACTTTTTTTTTTTTTTTTTTTTTTTTTTTAGATATAATGTTAGGTTGTTTATTTGGAATTTTTCTTGTTTTTTAAAGATAAACCTGCAATGATATAAATTTCCCTTTTATACCACTTTTGCTGCATCCAAAAAGTCATGTTGTCATTCTCAGTTGTGTGTGTATCATTTGATCTCACCTTTTTTGTTTTCTTAATCCTTACCAGAAGATACATTTTTCTATTGAGTTTTAGAGAGAAAGAGAGGGAGCAGGGGATGAAGGGGGGAGAGTGAAGTGGAGAGAGAGAGAGAGAAAGAGAGAGAGAGAGAGAGAGAGAGATAGAGAGAGAGAGGGAGGAAGAGAGAGAAACATTGATGTGAGAGAGAAATATCAATTGGTTGCCACCTGCATGTATCCTGACTAGAATGGGGATTGAACTTGCAACCCATGTATGGTATGTGACCTTGACCAGGAATTGAACTCATGACTTTTTTTTTCATATTTTTTTTCTTTACTGATTAATGTGTTACATGTGTCCTTATCCTCCCATTACTCCCTCAACAACCCTCCCCCCCTTGTCTGTGTCCATTGGTTAGGCTTATATGCATGCATACAAGGAAGAGAGAGGGATAGAGAGTTAGAAACATCAATGAGAGAGAATCATTGATTAGCTGCCTCTTGTACACCCCCTACTGGGGATGTGTCCGCAACCAAGGTACATGCCCTTGACCAGAATCGAACATAGTCTGCAGACCAATGCTCTATCCACTGAGCCAAACCGGTTTCGGCGATGAGGTTACTTTTTGGGTTGCAGAATACTGTACATCCTCAAGACTGTCCATTTGCACTGGAAAAGAATGTATAACTGGTGTGTAGGATGAAAGGCTCTGTATATGCCAAATATATTCTTTTGGTCTAATGTGTCATTTAAGACCAATATTTCCTTATTGATTGTTGTTTGGATGCTACTGGTATATTCATAACTGTCAATAGGATATTTGGGTGCCCTACTGTCATTGTGTTTGTGTCAGTTTCTTTCTTTAGTTCTGTAGGTGGTTGCTCACTGAGTCTACCTCTTGAGGGTCACTCATGGATGTGCAAAGTTGTACTCTGTTATGGTCTGAAGCCAGGATGCACTGGCTCTAGTGCCTGCATGGAGGTCCGAAGTCAGCCACTGCCTGAGGCCACCGGACAGGTGCTACAGAGAGATTTGCAGATGCTTGCTATTTATATTGGGTTTGGAAGTGCCAGGCAGGACCCAGCTGTGAATCAAGGCAAGCAGGTGCTAGTGCTGAGTTTTGGGCCTTTTATCGCTGGTTTTGGGGCATGCTGACCCAACTGTAGCTTGTTTCAGCAAAGGGAAGCCTAAACCAGGACGGGCCATTCATATGGAAAAGCTGCTGCAAATGGCTTGGGTGGGGATGCAAGTTAGATGGGGTGGGGTCTCAGGGAATCACCAGGATGGAGCAAAAGTGTGAGCTTGGCTGATGAAGGCTCATATTAATATATGGCTGCTGGTCAGCCCTGCAACAGGGAGGTCCCAGCACAGGAACAATGACCCCTGTGAGCACACTCTTCTGGGAGAAAGCTGTCCCTGAGTTCCTGCCCTGATACCAGACAATCTGTTTCCTCCCCATATGTGTCTGGGACCCCAAAACTGCCTGGTGCTGGAGCTCAGGGAGATCAAGTAAGTTTGTGCGCCAGCCCTTTAAGAGAAACACCTGGGTCTCCAGAAGCCTCCATGTCACTCAGCCACAATCCCACTGGTTTTTACAGCTCAGAGTTATGGGACTTCTCTTCCCAGCTCTGGAATCCTGCGGTGGAGGTCTAATGTGGGGCCGAGACCCATTGCTCGTCATGGGCAGCCTCCACAGCGAAGATATGCCTCCAATTAGGGAAGCGTGTGTCAGACCAGCCCGTTCCACGCCTCCGCCCTCCTACCGGTCTCTCAAGTCGTAGGACTTTCACTCAGCCAGCTTTCAGGCAGCTCTGAATGATGGTTATTCCGTATTTTAGTTGTAATTTTGATATGGTTGTGGGAGGCAGCGAGTATGCACCTTTATCTACACTGCCATCTTGGTTTTCCCAGTTATTGATTTTAGAGAGAAAAAAAAACATCAGCGTGAGAAACATGGCCTGGTTTCCTGTCGACACGCCTGGATGGGGGGATCGAACCCACATTTCAGGTATATGCTCTGCCTGGGAATCGAACCCGCAACCTTTTGATGGACCAAATGATGCGCCAAACAACTGAGCTGCCCAGCTAGGGCCCAAAGTGAGGATTTCGTGTGGCAAAGTAAATGACAGATTTCAGTTCACCCTCTTCTCTCTGCGAAGTGAAAGGCAGTGTTTTAAACCAATGGCACTGTTTGCTGAAAGGTGGGGTTGCTGTGTTTACGGTTTTGTGATGCCCTTTTGTGTGTATAGGATTCTTTCTGTCACTCCCTGCTGCCTTTACCTTCACTGCCAGGTGCTAAATGGGTGCCTTTTCCTTTCCGCTCACCCCTTTCTTGCTTCAGAAGTGCCTTCTTGAAGCTGTCTCCTCAGGTCTTGAACGTTTTAAGCCACTTTCTTTTTATTTCCTAGTAGTAGCCTGTGTTTTAGTGCCCTAGATATTAGACCTGCTGCTTTCAGCATTTTTCATAATGAAGTGGAATTTTCTCTTTTTGGGTTTATTTTGTATTTGTTCCAGTAGCTCTAGTTTATCCACACCTGTTTTTCCCTCCTCCCTCTCTCCCCTCCTTCCCTCCTTTCTTTCTTCTGTTTTGTCGTGTTCCACACTCTCCATAGGCAGAGGCTTTGTAGATGAGTTTCCCGGATTTGAGTATTTTCCTACTTACAGGTAATTTTAAATTAATTTTGTCTATCTTTTAGTTTTGATGAAGGTATGGTTTATGGGTGATTTTATTTGCTTATGTTGTTGATCTGTATAGTTTTTTTGTTTTTTTTTTAAGAATTCATGGAGAAATTCAGATTTAGGCAAGCACCATTGATCTCTACAGCCCTGAAGTTAACACCTGTATTTATTTATTTATTTATTTATTTATTTATTTATTTATTTATAATACTCACCCAAGTACATGCTTATTGATTTTACAGAGAGGAGAAGAGGGAGGGAGGGAGGGAGGGAGGGAGGGAGGGAGGGAGGGAGGGAGGGAGGGAGGGAGGGAAAATCGATATAAGAAACATCAATCTGTTGCCTTCCTATGTGCAACCTAAGTATGTGCCTTTCTGACCAGGAATCGAACCCACAACCTTTTGGTGTATGGTATCACATTCCAACCATTTGAGCCACACCAGCCAGACCACCTTCATTTTTGAAGAATATTTGTGCTGAGTATAGAATTGCAAATTTGCAAGACAATGGCCCTAGGATAAAAGTAGCTATAGGAGCCAGCATATCTTTCCAACATTTTTTTTTTGGGGGGGGGGGGGATTTTTAGCTCCTTACTTCTTGCCTCATGGTATCTAGCCTTTCTTGTATTTCTAGGATGGAAGTATTGTATGTCATCAGGTATTCCACTTCATCCGGATACTAATATCATCTTTAATTTTCAACGTTTTCCATAACATTGTGAATTGTTGTGATACTTTTATTAAAATCTAAAACCTACTGTATTAGGGACTCCTAGACACTCCCAGTTTGAATGGTTTGCTGGGAAGACTCATAAGACTAGCATATAGTTGTATTCATGGCTAAGATTTATTACAGGGAAAGGGTACAAAGCAAAAGCGGCAAAGGGAAAAAGGAAACCAGGCACAAACTTTCCAGATCCTTTCCTGGTGGAGTCTCAGAGTATGCACTTAATTCCTCTTTCAGTCGGTTTTGTCAGCACACGTAGAATGTTGTCTACTAGGGAGGCACATTAGAGATTCTGTGCTCAGGTGTTTTATTAGAGGCTGTTTATGTAGATACCCTCTGCCTAGCATACTCCCAAATCACTCCCAGAAGAAAAGCTGGTGTTTGCCATAAACCATATTGTTTTCACAAACTGGTTAAGCACAGTGAGCCACTCTTATCATCCAGGGTGGTGGGACCCGTCTTCAATTCATGTTCCCAGAACCAGCCAAGGACCAAAATTGCAACAGGGCTTTTCAAGGATAGCAGTTTAGTCCTGTTAACTCTTTTCTGCAATACCTACCTTGCAACCACTTACTCATCTTACTAGTAAAAGTTGTTTGGGATCTAAAATAGGTCAGCAATGTCATTTAATATAATAAAAGGCTAATATACAAATTAACCAAATGGTGGAACGACCGGTCGTTATGACATGCTCTGACCACCAGAGGGCAGATGCTCAACGCAGGAGCTGCCCCCTGGTGGTCAGTGCATTCCCACAGGGGGCGCACCACTCAGCCAGAAGCCCTGAGCCAGGCTCACAGCTGGCAAGCGCAGCAGCGGTGGTGGGAGCCTCTCCCACTTCCTTGACAGTGCTAAGGATGAACGAGGGAGCAGGCCTAAGCCATCAGTCGGTCATCCCTCAAGGGCTCCCAGACTGTGAGAGGGCACAGGCCGGGCTGAGGTCCCCTGAGTGCACAATTTTGTGCACTGGGCCTCTAGTATCTATATAATCAATGATGTTTCTTTATAGCAAAAGTATGATAATTAAAAGTGAGAAAATAAAATTATTCTCAGAAAATTATACTTAATGAAGATAGCAAAATTCTTTTCCACCATAGCTTAATATTTTAATATTTAAATTAAGGTAATCAAAATGCCAATGTTTTACAGCAAATCGCATCTCCTTCCTTCATTAATTTCTATTAATGGGCACATGAAATGAATTATATAAATGACTAGTACAATGAATTCATGTAAAGGAATTACATATTCACTCTTTTCTTTTAGCCTAAGAAAGCTGTCAAGGTAAAACCTCGCCCACCTGTAACTCCTCGATCTTCTAGTGGTTCCACGGCAGCTACTCGGCACAGATTGTTACGAGTTCTCCCCCACATTGGGCAGTCTTGTTTACCTTCTCCTGGGAATGCCTGTCTGCCTGAAACACCCAGCAATGCAATTTCAAGTTTGACAGCCCTGCCCCCTGCTGATAGACCCGTATCATCCATAGCTGGTGATTTCCTGAAGGAAGATGCTAACTGGGAGAGTAACACGCAGCCTCATTCCAACGGTAGCACCAAACTGTCACCTCAGACAACCCATGTGGAGCTGGAAAATGACAAAGAGTTTGCTGACTCTGTGCTTCATCTTGGACCATCCTTGCCAAGGCGGACAAAGCACTTTTCAGGAAATTTGTCACCTAATAATGAGGATGACACTGTTTTATTTCCAGCTTCTGAAGAGTGTGTAACTGAAAAATCACTTCTACCCGAAGTGGGTTCGTTTCCTTTGTTTTCAGAAGGAAATATTGATGAACAGAGCAGTGGCTTAGAAGGCACACGGAAGGTCAATCCTGACAAAGGGTTGAAAGCTACAGAGCAGCATCTTAAACACGTTGCAAGAATGTTGAGCGGTGAATCAGTAGAGACTACAGTTCTCCACAACCGTGAATTAAGTCCTCACAAGAGCAGACTCCTGTCACCTCTTCACTGTTCTACACCCATGTCACTCCATCATTCCCTGGTGAAGCCACAGAGACAGTCGAAATGTTTCGAGTCTCGGAATCTCCAGTCTTCTGCTTCACAGAATGTGCTCCGGTCATTGGATGTTCGAAATATAACGGACTCATCTTTCTCTAGGACTACTCGCTTTCGAGCTGTAAAAGTTGATTCACCTGGGAAAAGATCTGATATTATTTCTAAAGTTGAGGCTCGGGATATCACAGAAATGGCTAACAAGGCTTCCAAAGAGCCTGTCGGTTGTGTAAATAATATAGGTTTTCTTGCTTCGCTGGCCCGGAGCGCAAGCAGAGACGGGGCACAGAGCACACGTGGGGTGGGCAGGCTTCGGACCTCCGGAATCGGGCTGTCTACAAACCTCCAGCATTTTCAGGAAGAATGCATTAGGAAAAGTTCTCCCCAGTTAGAATCTACAGATTTTTATCTAGTAAGTATATGCTTTTCAATATATTCTAGTAGTTGTCCTTGTAATGACTCAACATATTTAAAGTTTATTTTTTATTTACATAAATAAGGAGGCCTACGGTTGACTTCTTTTAATAGTTTATCTACTTTGTAGAAAATCTTTGTGATAGGTGATTTTTAAATAATTTTTTAGTCCTAAATTGCAAACTGTAACTTGAAAATAATTTTGTGTAGACAACTTGTTACAGTAGTTCCTCGCCCTCCCCCACCAAGGTGTGGGGGATTTGTTTCAATGCCTGCAGTGGATATCTGAAACCATGATAATACCAGACTCATATATACTATGTTTTTCCTGTACATGCATATTTGTGATAAAGTTTAATTTATGAATTATGCACAGTAAGATATTAACAACAATGACTAATAAAACAGAACAATTATAGCAATATACCGTAATAAAAGTTATGTGAACCTGATTTTTCTCTCTCTTAAAATATTTTACTGTATCGGGCTCACCCTTCTTCTTGTTGTGATAATGTGAGATGATATAATGCCCACATGAGATCAACTGAGTTTGGATTTTCTGGACAAAACGATGGTTCACATCCTGGGCAGGATAGAGTGAGATTTCTGCTACTCATGCAATTTAAAATTTATGAATTGTTTATTTCTGGAATTTTCCATTTAATATTTTCAGACTAAATATTGGTTAACTTTAGGTAACTGAAACTGGCAAGCAAAACCATGGAAGTGGGGGAGGGAGGAGATACTGTTTTTATTAATTTTTCTCCAAATGAGAACTTTTATTTGATGCTGTTTTTATTAATTTTTCTCCAAATGAGAACTTTTATTTGAGCCATTAAATTATACCCTTTTAAACATAAGAAATTAGTACAGTATTGCTGGATGTGAGAATCAGGTTTCAAGTTAATTAAAATTCAGTCAGATAATTTTAAATGAAAACCCAACAGCATTTTTGTAATAAAGTACAAGTATTCCATGCTTGGTGATCTTTAATTCTGTTCTCCATTAATTCACACCATAGATGTTTTCTGTTTTAATTGTAGTCTGCCCGTGGTATTGGAATGAATGGAAATAATGCAGCAGCAGGTAAAAGAGTAGGTAAGCTGTAGATAATTTTAAAAATAATGTAAGACTAATAATCATCATTATGCATATTGTTGAATTTCAAAAAATGCTAAGAACCTAATCTGCAGTATGTGCAGAGTAAACCCTTCCCAAACTTGTTCCACTTAAGGAAATGACTGTGAGAACTGACTGCAGGACGTATTTGACAAATAAAACTAAAATGAAGTTTAGATGTCTGAGCCTGGGAAGAAATATGGTCCATGTGAAAAGATGAATGAAGAGTTAGCATGTGGTTTCCATTGCTCCCAGGCACTGGCCACTTCGGAGCCACGCTGGGCTACCGGGTGGGTTTTGACAAAGTCCCCTAGGAAGTCTTTTTTTTATCGTTACCATGATCCATTATCAAGGTTGGTATAAGAGTTCCTTTTGATGAACCAGATAAAAGAAAAGAACCATTTCTAGGACCAGCCCTTTCCAAGGAACAGTAGCAGGCCTGACTATAGCATTAGCACCCCAGTGAACCACTAACACCTTAAAGGCTCACCAACCATTTTCTATCCAAGGCAGCTGTTACTGTCCTCATCGCTTGTGTTTTAATACTCAGACTAGGGATAGGAACTAATTACAAAGACATACCACCCTTATAGCTCCAAGGTTCCAAAGGATAGTTTGTATATTATGGTTGTTAAGTAAGGTTTATGTCTTTTTTTTTCTTTTTGCTAATCCCACCTGAGGATATTTTTCCCATTAATTTTTTTAGAGAGAGTGGACGGGAGGGAGGAAGGGACGGGGGAATAGAGAGAGAGAGAAAGAAAGAGATTGGTTGCCTCCTGAAGATGCTTTGATTGGGGCCAGGGATTAAACCTGCAACCCAAGTACTCACCCTTGATTGAGCCCTTGACCAGGAAGTGAGAACGAATTTTCCAACCACTGTGCAACCACTGTGCAACACTGTGCAACTTTTATGTCTTTAAAGAGAACCCTACGGATCTCTTTAAAGACATAAAAGAGAGTTTTATGTCTTTAAAGAGATCCTTAGGGTTCCCTTTCACTATATAAAACCCAAGGTCTTAAAGTCTTATATCCACTTCTTTTTTAAGAATTTTTTATTGTGGTAAAGCGCACATGACAAGTTTTACTGTTTTAGTCATGTTAACTGTGTAATTCAGTGGCGGTAAGTACATTCACATTGTTGGGCAACCCTTGCCGCCATCTACCTCAAGAATTCTTATTATCTTGTGGAAACCGGTTTGGCTCAGTGGATAGAGCATCAGCCTGCGGACTAAAAGGTCCTAGGTTCGATTCCAGTCAAGGGCATGTACCTTGGTTGCGGACACATCCCCAGTAGGGGGTGTGCAAGAGGCAGCTGATTGATGATTCTCTCTCATCGATGTTTCTAACTCTCTATCCCTCTCTCTTCTTCTCTGTGAAAAATCAATAAAAAAAAAAAAAATATATATATATATATATATATATATATATATATATATATATATATATATATAAAGAATTTTTTTTTAATCTGGAAAAGCTGAAACACTGAACTCATTAAATACTACTTCATTTACCCCTTTCCTATGCCCCTGGAAACCACCATTCTATTTTCTGTTTCTATAATTTTAACTCCCCTACCTATTGCATCTAAATGAAATTATACATGGTAGTTATTTTGTATCAGGCTTACTTCACTTAGCATAATGTCAAGGTTCATCCATGTCATAGCATGTGTCAGAATCTCCATACTTTTTAAGGGTAAAGAATATTCCCTGTAAATACATAAAACATTTTGCTTATCTGTGCATCTGTGGGTGGACACTTGTGTTGAGTTCACATTTTAGCTATTATGAATAATGCTGTTATGAACATGGGTATACAGATATCCTTTTGAGACCCTGCTTTCAATTCTTTTGAGTGTATATGTAGAATTGGAATTGCTTATTGTAATTCTATGTTTAATTTTTTTGAGGAACCACCATACTGTTTTCTTTCTTTTTTGTAAATACTTTTCTTATTTTTAAATTATAGTTAACATACAAGTTATTCAGGTGTACAACATAGTTATTAGACATGTATGTAGTTTACAAACTGACTACCTGATAAATTTAGTATCCATTTTACACCATAAATAATTATTCAATATTATTGATTATATTCCCTATTCTATAGTTACAATGATATGACTATTTTGTAACTATCAATTTGTACCTCTTTTATTTATTTTATGTTTTAATATATATTTTTATTGATTTTGGAGAGGAAGGAAGAGGGAAGAGAGAGAAACATCAATGATGAGAGAGAATCATTGATTGGCCGCCTCCTGCATGCCCTCTACTGGGAACTGAGCCTGCAACCTGGGCATGTGTTCTTGACCAGAATCGAAACTGGGACCCTTCAGTTTGCAGGCTGACACTCTATCCACTGAGCCAAACTGGCTAGGGCTGTACTTCTTTTAAATAATTTTTTAAATTAAAATAATTTTAATAACAGTTTACATTCAGTATTATTTTATATTAGTTTCAGGTATCCAGCAAAGTGCTTAGATAACCATATACTTTACAAAGTGGTTGGCCTGATATTTCAAGTATCCATTTGGCCCCATACAGAGTTATTAAAATATTATTGACTCTGCTGTAATTTATAACCCTCTGACTATTCTGTAACTACCAATTTCTACTTCTATTTTTCTTAATCCTCACCCGAGAACATCATATGGATTTTAGAGAGAGGATAAGGGGGAGAGAAAGAGAGAAAGAAACATGGACTGGTTGCCTCCCATATGTGACCCAAACGGGACCAAACTCACAACGGGAATTAAATCCACAACCTTTCAGTGCACGGGATTATGCTCCAACCAGCAGAGCCACACTAGCCAGGGCCCAATTTGTACTTCTTAATCTCTTCATCTTCTTAATCAACTATCCCAAACCCACTATCCTCTTGGCAACCATACTCTGTTCTCTGTATCTATGACTCTGTTTCTATTTTGTTTGTTTGTTTATTTTGTTCTTTAGATTCCACTGTAAGTAAAGTCCTATAGTATGATTTTTAAATTTTAGTTTTTACTCCCTTCACCTTCTTTTATCCATATCCAAACTCCCTCCCCTCTGACAGCTGTCAGTCTGTTCTGTGTATCCGTGCCTGTTTCTATTTTGTTTGTCAGCTTATTTTGTTCATTAGATTCCACATATGAGTGAGATCATATGGTATTTGTCCTTCTCTGACTGGCTTATTTTACTTAGCAAAATAATCTCCAGGTCCATTTATGCCATTGCAAAAGGTAAGATTCTTTTTTTTCCCCCATGGCCAAGTAATATTCCATTATGTAAATATTCCACAGCTTTTTTTTATCTGCTCATCTACTGATGGGCACTTGGGCTGCTTCCAGATTCTAGTTATCCTATATAATAAAAGGCTTATATGCAAATTGTCCCCTTGAGAGTTCAACTGACTGGGAGTTCAATCACTTGCTATGACGTGTGCTGACCACCAGGGGGTGGCATAGAACAAAGGAAGGCCCCAACCAGCAGCCAGGGGAAGGAAGGCCCTGATTGGCCTTGATCGCCAGGCAGGTCTAAGGGATCCTATCCATGCATGAATTTTGTGCACTGGGCCTCTAGTTTTAAATAATGTTGCTATGAACATAGGGGTGCATATATTCTTCCTGATTGGTGTTTCAGGCTTCTTAGGATATATTTCTAGAAGTGGGGTCACTGGGTCAAATGGCAGTTCCATTTTTAATTTTTTTTTTTTTTTTTTTTGAGGCACCTCCATATGTTTTCCACAGCGGTTGTATCAGTCTGCATTCCCACCAGCAGTGCACTAGGTTCCCTTTTCTCCACATCCTCACCAACACTGTTGTTTGTTAATTTACTGATGGTAGCCATTCTGACAGGTGAGAGGTGGTATCTCATTGTCATTTTAGTTTGCATCTCTCTGGTAATTAGTGATGTTGAACATTTTTTCATACGTCTTTTGGCCATTTCTATATCCTCTTTGGAGAAGTATCTATTCAGGTCCTCTGCCCACTTTTTAATTGGATTGTTTGTTTTTTGAGTGCTGAACTGTCTGAACTCTTTTTTTTTTTTTTAATATATTTTATTGATTTTTTACAGAGAGAAAGGGAGAGAGATAGAGAGCCAGAAACGTCGATGAGAGAGAAACATCGACCAGCTGCCTCCTGCACACCAATGCACATGCCCCTGACCGGAATCGAACCCGGGACCCTTCAGTCCGCAGACCGACGCTCTACGGTTTCGGTGAACTGTCTGAATTCTTTTTTTTTTTTTTTTTTAAAGTGTACTTTATTTTTTTATTTTTTTTCCTTAATTTTTATTGTTCATATTATTACAAATGTCCCTTCCCCCCCCCTTCCCACCCCACCCTCTGCCCTTTCCCCACCCCCCATTGTCCTCATCCATAGGTGCACAATTTATGTTCAGTCTCTTCCCACATCCCCCTCTCCCCTTTTCCCCAAGAATCATCAGTTCACTCCCCTTCCATACCTCTGAATCTATTATATTCAACAGTTAATATTGTTCCTCAGATTTTTTTTTAATTTCCTTGGTTTTTAGATTCACTTGTTGATAGTTATGTATTTGTTGTTCATAATTTTTATCTTTATTTACTTTCTCTTCTGAAAGAACCCCCTTCAGCAATTCATATAATTCTGGTTTGGTGGTGATGAACTCCTTTAGCTTTTTTTTATTAGTGAAGCTCTTTATCTGACCTTCGAATCTGAGTGATAGCTTTGCTGGATAGATTATCTTTGGCTGTAGGTTCTTACTATTCATCACCTTAAATATTTCTTGCCATTCCCGTCTGGCCTGCATGGTTTCTGTTGAGAAGTCAGCTGACAATCGTATAGGTGCTCCTTTATAGGTAACTACCTGCTTAGCTCTTGCTGCTTTTAATATTTTCTCTTTGTCTTTTGCTCTTGGAATCTTAATTATGATTTGTCTTGGTGTGGTCCTCTTTGGATTCCTTTTATTTAAAGTTCTGTGTGCTTCCTGGACTTGTAAGTCCAATTCTTTCCC